TTTCTCTTTAGACAGATTTAAGAGTTTCCTTGTCGGTCAGATCTCATAGAGTGCCAGTGATTAATTGACAGTCTTATGATAAAGTCTTATATCGTGCTCTTTTTTGAAGCACATATTACTAACACTGCTTTTCCAAAACTCATTTTGTACAGACAACACATAAAGAAGAGCGAAAGGATGTTCCCCACCTTCTAACTAACGGAGAAGTTATTGATGTCTACACAGTCGGCCGTCTCATTAGTATTGGAGGATTTGGACAGGTGATAGCATTACTTTACGTATATGCACGTCCAGGTCATTTTTGATAGGGGTATAGTTTTTACATTAACACGCGAAATATAAATTTGGTGCAAAAATCAAAAAAGGTTATCTTGGCCACCTTTGGCTTATTTTGGTGTATGTAGTTTCTCGAGTCCCAGCTATGGAAAGATAAGAAAACTTGCAATTAAATTCTGGATGTAAAGTATATGCATGAGCAAGCAAAAACCTCGATTTTTTCGAACGCAGATACGACTTTTCTCATTTTCTTCAAGCATTCGTACCCCTTTAGATTTTGGCTTCAAACTTTATGTGAAGCAAATTTGGAGTATATATTCAGATGCAATTTTGTAGAGCTTGCTTGGCTCTATCAAACAGTACCCCTCCAGTATTTTCGAGGTTCTCCTGGTGGCTGTGCCATAGCGAGCAAATAAAAAGCGACATTTTTTGTTGGCAACCTGATATATAGCAGGGGAATGCTGCTTTTGATATGCGTGAAAATTGCAATAAAATATTGACTGATTCAGAAGTTCTTTTACACTCGAAATTTGCAAACTCTACTGACTCTGTGATTTTGCTTGATATCACTTTTGAATGAGAATTCAAATAGCATTTGATTCCAGCATACACAAAAAGTCGAAAAAAGGACCATATGAAATCCAAAATTTCGAGCGAGATTGCCAAAAACTTGAAGGTGCAATAAAATCTGAAACAATCACTCAAGTGATTCCGTATTCTCCTCTCTTTTACTGAGCGAAATTCTGCTGATCGAACGTTTCTACAGAAAGTTATGTTTGTGGAAAATGCCAGAACTGATTTTTCTGCTTCCATTTGAAAAGTATCATAGCCACAACCTAAGAGCTGACCAGCACAAGCTTCGCTGACTCAGTAAGAGTAGGTAAAACTCATGCTATTTCGACTTTTACCTACTCTTGGACTTCAAAATTTTAAGGCTACACTGTATGGCGTGTTTGCACAGAATTACCGAAGGGTGATCTTGTTCATCCATTTTACTTTTTCAACTTTGTTCGGTGGATAACAACAAAGATGTCATAAAAGGCTCGTATTTTCCTCCTAACGACAAGCTAAAATATTTAGATAATAAAAACTTATTTATTCAACGGTGCGACAGAACTATTGCCTCACCATAGCAGTTTTATTTTGAACACTACTCTCAAAGTTTTCTGTGAAGTTCTCTACCTTCTTTTACTTTGACTATATCAGTGTTTGAGTGTCTGGTCAAAATTCCCAGAACCTTCGGCATATGAGGGCCTCCTTCTATCCAAGTTATTATCTTAAACTTTTCGAAAACGAGATAAAAAAGAGACTTCTGTAATGTGACACTCATCTAGGTTTATACTTGTTTCCATCAACTGACACATGAACGCGTTGCTATAAAGGTAGAAGCGATGGCGGCTAAGGTATGCTCCTTAGTTGTGGAACAGCTCTGATATATTCTTAAACAAATAATTTGAAGATGCCTTTGTTGCGAAACGAGGCAGTTTGTCTACACTACCTCAATGGCATTCACAATCCACATGGTGAAGAATCACGAGAGCCTATACTGCGTTTTATTAGTTACGGACTTACGGATAGGCTCAAATATCTGGTAAGTGTGAGTTCAATTTATACTC